GTGAATGATAGATGTAGATGATTAAAACTTAAGAATAAAGAGAATTGGTGTATGATAGATGTAGATGATGAATGAAAACGGAGTTTTCGATACGATATTTATAGAGAAAACCATCCAAAAAAGATAATTTAACAAAACAGAGTCTGAAGATCACAAAAATGCATTGGCGCCAACCCTGGCTAACTGGCGCCAGGCACCAGTGGCTAGCGTCAGGCGCCAATGGCTAGCGTCTAGCGCCAAGCCTGGTTCCAGGCGCCAAGGCCTAGGGTTGGACGCCAAACTGACTTTTAACGCGTTTTTGAAATTCTGATAAATTTCCCGTACTGGAAGATAAAATAATATAATTTCAATCGAAAATGCTATTTGATCTTGATTAAAACTCTGAAGAATCCTAACTGAATTAGGAATGATAAAGAACTTCTAGAATGTTCTAGAAGACCAAAACCATTCCTAATTGCATTAGGAATGATAAATCATATTAGGCCCTCCCCTAGATCATTGGGCCGTACATAAAGCTCAAACCGGACCCAATTTGGTAAATTGGCCATAACTTCCTCAATATTCATCGGAATTGGGCTTATAATATATCGTTGGAAAAGTCTTTGCAAGCCCCATCCAACCATACCACTATTGGACCCATATCATGGATCAACCAAATTGGATCGGCTGTTTTCTTAAAATAAAGTTTTCAAAAATAGGGAGAAGAGAAAAGAAATAAAACCTTCCGCAACACTAGACCTTTCCACACTTTCGTTTCATTCGATTATGATTCGACGTGAAAGGTACTCATCACTAGGTTTGGTTTTGGGGAGACACAAATGGGTGTCTACAATCCCCGAACTACCAGTCATGGTTCCAGACCTATTGGAGTTGACGATCTCCTGGATCGTTAAGGGGTGTAACCTTCACCTCGTGAACGGTTTACAAGTTCCTAAAACTTGTTGGCGACTCTTTTGCTCTATCTTCTTTCCCTTTGGACGCCACCATACTTTAGTGTATGATCACAGTGGGGTTCAAGCTAGGGATAACGCTTGAAATATTCCCTACAATCCCCCATATGGACCATTTAGATATTTTATGGTTTTAATTGATGCCTCAACTAGATGGTCACATGTATCCTTGTTATCAACTCGTAACCTGGCGTTTGCGAGATTACTTGCCCAATTGCTTAAGTTGCGGGCACATTTTCCAGATACTCCCATTAAGACTATTCAGCTTGATAATGCTGGTGAATTCACATCTCAAGCTTTCAATGATTATTGCATGTCCATTGGGATCAATTTTGAACATCATGTAGCACATGTTCATACTCAAAACGGTCTGGCAGCGTCATTAATTAAACTTCTTCAGTTAATTTCTAGACCATTGCTTATGAAATCCAAACTCCCAATTTATGCTTGGGGACATGCTATATTACATGCAGCAGCACTAATTCGCATTAGGCCAACAAGTTATCACAAGTTCACCCCATTACAATTAGTTTATGGTCAGGAACCAAATATTTCCCATCTAAGAATTTTTGGATGTGCAGTTTATGTTCCAATAGCTTCACCACAACACTCTAAGATGGGTCCTCAAAGGAGGTTGGGAATATATGTTGGGTTTGAATCCCCGTCAATAATTAAATATCTTGAGCCAACAACTGGGGATATATTTACGGCTCGTTTTGCAGATAGTCATTTTAACGAATCACTTTTCCCAACATTAGGGGGAGAAAAGAGAGAGCTGGAAAAAGAAATTAAATGGAATGAATTATCATTATCTTATCTTGATCCTTGAACTAAACAATGTGAGCTTGAAGTTCAAAAGATAATTCATTTACAAAGTTTAGCGAATCAATAGCCAGACTCGTTTGCTGACCCTAAAAGAGTGACCAAATCACATATTCCAGTTGTAAATGATCTATTTAAAATAGATGTCCCGGAAGGACAAAATAAATTTGCTAATGAGTCTAAACCACGTCAGAAAACATGGAAGACCAATAGGTTCCAAAGATAAGAATCCTCGCAAAAGAAAAGGAGCATTGATTGATGATGGTCAAATTGAAGAAACAATTTCTAAAGGATCTCCAGAAGAGAATTTAGACATGATACAGGAAGAAATTTAGGTACCTGATAATGAAGAAATTTCAACAAATTATATCATGTCTGGAATTACATGGAACCGAAATCAAATCGACGTCGCTGATGTTTTTGCATGCAATGTAGCATCAGATGTTATGGATAATAATGAGGATCATGAACCAAAATCAATTAAAGAATGTAGACAAAGAAATGATTGGCCAAAATGAAAAGAAGCAATTAAAGCAGAATTAATATCTCTTGAAAAAAGAGAAGTATTCGGACATATAGTCCATACACCTGAAGGTGTAAAGCCAGTGGGATATAAATGGGTCTTTGTGCGAAAGAGAAATGAAAAGGGTGAAATTGTAAGATATAAGGCACGATTAGTTGCACAAGGATTCTCACAAAGACCTGGTATTGATTATGAGGAGACATACTCTCCTGTGGTGGATGCAACTACTTTTAAATTTCTGATTAGTCTGACAATAAGAGAAAGACTTGACTTACGTTTGATGGATGTAGTCACAACTTATTTATATGGCCCACTGGATAATGACATTTACATGAAGCTCCCAGAAGGATTCAAGCTGCCAGAAGCAGCGAAATCTAGTTCTCGAGAACATTTCTGTATTAAATTGAACAAATCTCTTTATGGGTTGAAACAATCTGGGCATATGTGGTATAACCGTCTAAGTGAGTATTTGTTAAAAGAAGGATAAGAATGATCCTATCAGCCCATGTATTTTTATAAAGAAATTTGGATCAAGATTTGTTATAATTGCGGTGTATGTTGATGATTTGATCCTCATTGGAACTCCTAAAGAGATTTCGGTGACTGTCAATTATTTAAAGAAAGAGTTTGTAATGAAAGATCTTGGGAAGACAAAATTTTGCTTGGGGTTACAAATAGAGCACTTAGAGAATGGAATCCTTGTGCATCAATCAACATACATAGAAAAGGTTCTTAAAATATTTTCTATGGATACAACACATCCATTGAGCAACCCTATGGTTGTAAGATCACTTGAAGTAGAGAAAGATCCATTCCGACCTCGGGAAAATGATGAAGAAATTTTTGGTCCTGAAGTACTATATCTTAGTGCAATTGGAGCACTAATGTACCTTGCAAGTCATACACGACCCGACATATCATTTTCAATTAATTTATTAGCAAGGTTTAGTTCATGTCCAACCCGGAGGCATTGGAATGGGATTAAACATTGACTTCATTATCTTCAAGGTATGAAGGATATTGGTTTATTTTTCCCAAAGTTGTCCAAAGAAAATTTGATTGGTTTTGCAGATGCAGGTTATTTATCTGATCGTCATAATGGTCGATCGCAAATTGGATATGTGTTCACACATGGTGGTACTGCCATTTCTTGGAGTTCTATGAAACAAACCATTGCAGCTACGTCTTCCAATCATTCTGAGATTTTAGCAATTCACGAGGCTAGTCGTGAATGTGTATGGTTAAGGTCGGTTGTTCAACATATAAAAGAAGTTTATGATTTATTGTCTAAGAAAGAGGCACCGATAACTCTATATGAGGATAATGCAGCTTGTATTTCTCAACTTAAGGAAGGATACATCAAAGGTGACTGAACAAAGCACATCTTACCCAAATTTTTCTTCACTCGTGATCTTCAGAAGAATGGAGATATAAATGTATTGCACATTCGTTCAAGTGAGAATTTAGCAGACTTATTCACTAAGGCTCTTCCGACCGCAACATTTAAAAAGTTAGTTTATCATATTTGATTGCGTCGTCTCAAAGATCTTCAGTGATATAATAATGAGGGGGAGTAATTGCACGTTGCACTCTTTTTCCCTTATCCATGGTTTTTTCCCACAGGGTTTTTCATGGAAAGGTTTTTAATGAGGCAGCATATAAGCGCATTAAATCTCTCTTAGATAAAGGGCATCCAAGGGGGAGTGTTACAAATAATAATGTATGTCCATTATAGCTTGTAACTATCTCTTTATTATGAATATCTTAAGTATCTTTGTAACTTCATTTGTAACCTCCATATGCTTTTAATTCACATTGTAACTCTTTATGAATGGACTCTTCATTGTCCATTTAGGTTACATGGTTCACATGATGTATATATATATATGGTTCATGAAATGGATGAATATAGACAACACAATTACCTATCTACATCTCTCACTAATATTCTTTCTTTTCCCCTTATTTTATAATAAAAATAACCAATGATTTATTATTTCCAAAAATGTTATCCTTACTCTAATTTTATTTTGATTTATTTACATAATTGATAATTGTCAATTAATTTTCGGGGCATTTGGTAGGAGGGATGCGATTAAGTGGGATAAGAAGGTGGGATAAAAAGGTGGAATAGATGGAATAAGGATAAAAATAGTGTATTCCATTGTTTGGTATGAGTTGGGATTAGATTGGATTAACTAATAAAAATACAAAAATACCCTTACTATCCTTTCATCACCCTCTTTTCCTTTCTCTTTCATTAAGGGTAATAATGTCTTTTACCCATTAAATTTAGTCCCCATCCCTTATATCACCCCCCTTAGTTACTAATTTGGATGTGACATCATTTTTGGTGGTCCCCATTGAAAATGATGTCATTAAATTCTTGTTAAAACTCACTAAGACTTATACAAATTTATCACTTTAGCCTTAAGACTTAATTATTTGACATATTATATGTAGACAAGTGTAAAAAAAAGGGAATAATAAAAATAAAAGTAAAGTGGGTCCCAATCTCAAGTCTTAAGTTGAGTCTTGAAAAATGAGAAAAGTTTTAAGTATAAATCTTAAGACTCAATTTGATACTATCACCCCAAATCTTAAGACTTGGAGCTAAACTTGCTCTAACTCCCTTTTATGTGCATCCTATCCCCCTCTCTTATCCCTCTAAACAAACACCCCTTTTTGTTTATCAAAAGGATAAATCAAGGCGTCACTCATTCCCTCCCTCCATTCGAATACAAAATGGTGGCAAATGCAGGACAACAGAATGGGAAATCTGAATGAAATTGTTAACTAATGAATTCAAATATGATATCCATTGTTGCATGAAATCAAACCCGAAATCAAACCCAAAATCAAAATGCCACCACCTGCTAAACCAACCAAATTCTACTTCTTCTATGGCAAAAGAAAGCCTTCCCAGAATCGACCCACTGTGTATGGTGGTCTCTTCTCCAATCGCCAAACCATAAACCCTAATTCCCCCAATTCCATAAACCCTAATTTTCATCAATCTCAAAAACCCACAAATTTTAATCTTCAAAATTGGGACCCAGATTCCCAAATTGGGTCAAAACCCTCTCAATCTAAAACCCCATCGGAGAATTTCTTCCATATTGCTCAGAAATTATCCCCAATTGCTCGTTTCATCTGTGATTCTTTCAGAAAACACCAGAGGTGGGGTCCAGAGGTGATTGCTGATCTCTCGAAGCTTCGCCGGGTTAACCCGGACATGGTTGCTGAGGTCCTTAAGGTGCAGGATGACCCCAACATTTGCTCCAAGTTCTTCCATTGGGCTGGTAAACAAAAGGGTTATCAACATACTTATCTTTCTTATAATGCATTTGCTTATTGTTTGAATAGATTGAATAAGTTTAGAGCTGCTGATCAAATACCTGAGTTAATGCATATGCAGGGTAGACCACCTAGTGAGAAACAGTTTGAGATTTTGATTAGAATGCATGCTGATAATAATAGGGGTCTTAGGGTGTATTATGTGTATGAGAAGATGAAGAAATTTGAGGTTAAACCTCGAGTTTTTTTGTATAATAGGATCATGGATGCTTTAGTTAAGACGGGTCATTTAGACTTGGCGATGTTGGTTTATAAAGATTTTAAGAAGGATGGTTTGGAGGAGGAGACTGTAACTTATATGATTTTGATCAAGGGTTTGTGCAAGGGTGGGAGGATTGATGAGATGTTGGAGCTTTTGGGACGAATGAGGAGTTTGTTAAAACCGGATGTTTTTGCATACACGGCTATGATTCGGATTTTAGTGGGGGAGGGGAATTTGGATGGGTGCTTGAAGGTTTGGGATGAAATGGAGAAAGATAAGGTTTTGCCTGATGCAATGGCTTATACGACTTTGATTTCAGCTTTGTGTAAAGGGAATCGTGTGGATAAAGCCTATGAATTATTTAAGGGTATGAAGAATAGGCGAGAGTTGATTGATAGAGCTATATATGGTGCATTGGTGGATGGTTTTGTGGCTGATGGCAAGGTTGGTTCAGCCCTTGACCTGTTAAAGGATATGATGGATTCTGGATATAGGGCAGATTTGTCAATCTATAATTCATTAATACAAGGATTATGTAATTTGAAACAACTTGACAAGGCTTATAAGCTTTTCCAAGTAACAGTTAACGAGGGTCTCCAACCAGACTTTACAACTGTGAATCCAATGTTGATATCTTATGCAGAATCAAGAAAAATGGATGATTACTGCAAATTGCTTGTCCAGATGGAAAAATTAGGATCACCGGTTATTGATGGACTTTCTGGATTCTTCTCTCTGATGGTTGAAATGGACGAGAGATTGCCTTGCACTTTAGAGGTATTCAAAGATTTGAAAATCAAAGGTTATTGTAGTGCATCAATGTACAATATTCTTTTGGGAGCTCTGTACAAGGTAAGACAACCAAAGGAAGCATTGTCCCTCTTTGAGGAAATGAAAGATTCAAACTTTGCACCCGATTCAACAACTTACAGTCATGCGATCACATGTCTTGTTGATCTTGAGGATGTGAGAGAGGCGTGTCTTTGGTATAATAAAATCAAGGAGATGGGTTCCATTCCCTCCGTTGCAGCCTATTGCTCTCTGGCCAACGGGCTTTGCAAAATAGGAGAGATTGATGCAGCGATTTCCCTAGTCCAAGATTGCTTGGCTAATGTCAGCAGTGGACCTATGGAGTTTAAATACACTCTAAGCATTATCCATGCTTGCAAAGAGAATGATGCTGACAAGGTCATAGAAGTAATAAATGAAATGTTACACCAAGGAGGCATACCTAGTGAAATTATATATTGTGCTGTTATCTCTGGCATGTGCAAGCATGGGATGTTGGAGGAGGCTAGGAAGGTTTTCTCCTGTATGAAGGAGGAAAAATATATATCCGAAGCCAATGTGATTTTTTATGATGACATGCTTATGGAATACATGAAGAAGAAAACAGCAGACTTGGTCCTATCAGGATTGAAGTTCTTTGGACTGGAGTCCAAACTGAAAGCAAAAGGTTCTACATTGCTGCCAAGTTAAAGAGTGAACAGAGGTAATGTATTCCATCTTATGTTTAACAGTATTTGTTTTTTTCCTTTTTGAACTAGATAACCTAATAATCTTTACTCCTGAATCATTGTGGGCATTACTGTAATGGGGAGAAAATTGGAGAAGTTTAGGTATTTTCTATTGGAAAGAAATATGGTTTTTATGCTGTGTCAAATCTTTTTGTAATGGCTAACATGCTTGGCAAAACTTTGTTTTATACTGCAACAAAATTTGTGACATTGTAGTTAAAGCATTGGGATGTTGGGTTGTCACTTGTCAGGATTCGGGAAATTTGTGATTCGTGCACCACTAACTAGAACTATTTAGGTAATTTGGCACTTGGAGATAGCCCGAGAATTTATAGTGCTGAGATGTTATGCTATTGTACCGTCTCCAAATGTTCAGCAACAATATTAGGTTTTTCCCAAGCTGTTGCATGCTTGAAGGCTTCACCTGACAAGCACTTCACTTTTTACGTTTATGAAAGAGGAGAATCCTGTCATTCACCTATCATTTTCCAATTTGTTCATCACATTTTTTTTTTTCCAAACAACTAATGTGCTTTTGTGGTCCTATTGATAACGCTGTGTATGTTTATGGCTTAGTAAAGGAATTGCTAGAAGTATGAAATAATTAGGCTTTATGTAATACACTAGTGTAGGCGTCGTTTGAAGTGAGCCTACGTTAAAGCATGTGGAGAATATGCTTAGCACTCATAGGAAGTGAGAATTGACATATACGATTAGGGACAAGGAAAGTAGGGAGCCGCTAACAAGTTATTTAAGGAACTTGTAAACCGTTCACGAATTATTTATGGCAACAACGATTAAGGGACAACAAAAGGCAACAACGATTGACCCGTGAAGGTTACACCCCATTCATAATCCATGAGATTACTAACTTCGTATGGTTCGAAACCACGAACGGAGGATCGGGGATGATGGTACGAAGTGAGTCATAGAGTCACATTCGCCCGTATTGGCCTCTACTCGATTCTTATGATGAAAAGTGATTCCTGCGATTTCAAAGGGCATACAAACAAAGATTTAATTTGCTCCAAACTATTATTAGGCTAAATTGATTGAATATTAATGCAACATATTATTCTAAAATATTAGTGATTACTTTAATTAGTAACAAGATTAAAAAGGAACCTAAACCGGTCGTCCAAATTATCTTATTAGTTGTGATTTTCAATTGCATTTTCCCTTTAAACATTGCAACTTTTTATGGTTTTCGGGCTGCTGTCGAGATCCAGTATCGTCCTTGGGCTGGGATGACCGATCTTCCCGAGGCCCTGGAGCTTTTGGCGTGCCGTACTATTTTCTTTGGTACAACACACTTTGTTTGGTATCTTGGAGAGCGCGTTGTTCGTCAGCACAACGCTGACCTCTTTGTGGTGCCTTTGCCTCCACCGGAGTCGATGCTGGATTCACGTTTGCTTAGGGAGTTGCCGAAGAGGGGGGAACGCTATACATTTCCTTGGCAAGAGCTCGTGCGTATGGAGGGCGATTATTCACATGACTTGCTTCCTTCCTTGGCTCCTCCGCCCCATCTTCCCGAGGTATGATATTATTTGACCCTATTTGTCTCAAGCACACACTAATATGCACACTAATTAAGTAAATAATGTCAAATACATAAAGTGTGAATAAAATATACAAAGTGAGTCATGATACATAAATAGTGTCAAGTGTCATCAATCAAATTACATAATAAAAACCCTCGGTCAAAACTCTCCAAATCCAGAAAAGCTAGGATCAATGTCATCACGAGCCTGCGAATACGGGAACGGCGAACTATAGAGTCCCTCCATCATCCGTGTACGAGGAGTAGTATCCCTACTAGTCCCCATAGGTGTAGGCGGAACCTATCAAGCTGGTAAACGGCGTAGGCTGACTCCAAGATGTAGGAAGCGTCGGAGGAGGCATCGTCCCATACAGTGGAATTGAAAATAAGCCCTACACCGGCGGAGGCAGCGTCCCAGAAACCCTGGTCCACGGGGATAATGACTGGCCTAAACTCAAGGGCGCTGCCACTGCGCCTCCACAGAAGACTGCCACCGCTAAGTCTGAACCCTGAAATGGCTGAGATGTCGGAGGCTGCTGCCGCTGAGACTGAGAATGTCGACGAACCTCAGGAGATCGTCTGCGGTGACTAGGCCCCCCTCGTCCCAGTCTCTATGCCTCGAGCGTGAGCGAGACCTACGTCGCTCCTGAAAGACGCAAAGTGAAAAGATGTCAATAGTGCAAGATAGAAAAATGGTAATTATGGGAAAACAGGTGAATATACCTCGAGAACATTGCAGCCGTTTCAGGAGGCTCAGTGGCAGCGCCCTTCATCTTCCCAGCCATTCGAGTCTTCAGAGAGTTTAGGCCAGTCATTATCCCCGTGGACCAGGGACGCTGCCACCACCGGTGCAGGGCTTATTTTCAATTCCATTGTATGGGACGATGTCTCCTCCGACGCTTTCTACATCTTGGAGTCAGCCTACGCCGTTTACGAGTTGGACAGGTCGTGCTTTGAATTTGTCTTCTATTGGAGCTATGGGGACTAGTAGGGATACTACTCCTCGTACACGGATGATGGAAGGACTCTTTGGTTCGCCGTTCCCGTATTCGCAGGCTCGTGATGACACTGATCCTAGCTCTTCTGGATTTGGAGAGTTTTGACCGAGGGTTTTTATTATGTACTTTGATTGATGACACTTGACACTATTTATGTATCATGACTCACTTTGTATATTTTATTCACACTTTATGTATTTGACATTATTTACTTAATTAGTGTGTGCTTGAGACAAATAGTGTCAAATAATATCATACCTCGGGAAGATGGGGCGGAGGAGCCAAGGAAGGAAGCAAATCATGTGAATAATCGCTCTTCATACGCACGAGCTCCTGCCAAGGAAATGTATAGCGCTCCCCCCTCTTCAGCAACTCCCTAAGCAAACGTGAATCCAACATCGACTCCGGTGGAGGCAAAGGCACCACAAAGAGGTCAGCGTTGTGCTGACGAACAACGCGCTCTCCAAGATACCAAACAAAGCGTGCTATACCAAAGAAAACAGTACGGCACGCCAAAAGCTCCGGGGCCTCGGGAAGATCGGTCATCCCAGCCCAAGGCCAATACTGGATCTCGACAGCAGCCCGAAAACCATAAAAAGTTGCAACGAATGCCGATAAATAACATCAAAGTATAGAATAACATGCTGTGAAATCGATTCTTACACCAACAGAAAAGGTGCCTTGACACAGCAGCCCGCGCAGCATAGATACGGACTCCACTCGTGACTCGCCTCGATCACGCTAGCTGGCTCCAACAAGGGAAATCATGGACCGCTCCGCGATGTGGTCGAGGGGCCAATCCCGGAAATTACTCATAGAACCACAGTTGCAACGAAAGTAATCTCTAAGCACATGAGTTATACTGATTAAAACAAGACAAGAAGAAGAAAGATCGTCACCTTTACGACTCTCCATAAACTGTAGACAACAATAGGGGCCTGATCATTCAGTTGCCTGCACCCATGATGCAGCGACGAGAATAGATCAGCATATCCAATACTAGCCAATACGAGAGTAGAAGGCAGATAGCACACGTGAACTCTTATCATGAGAAAGAGTCCCGGAAATGAGAATCAAGATAAAGATCCGCACTCGCTGGCTCAAATGTCGTCTCAGTTATGTCAAAGCCATGGGCAAGAATAGAAGCCAACTCTGATCGCCCACTCCTAGGACCACCTCGAGGCACCGGCCGAGTCCTGATATGCTGAACGACAGGACCTAACAACTCTTCTACCTCAACCGCCCCCCAAGTGAGGTCCAAAATTTGCCGTATAGCCCGCTCGGTGAAGCGTAAGCCGCTAATCATGCTGAAATCCAGCGAGGTCACTGTCATCTCCCCCAAAGCAAAGTGGAAAGTGTTGGTAGTATCCCAAAAATACTCCTAACAACGCTCGAACAACTGTCGAACCATAACCTCGGGGGCTGCGAAATCCTACGACTGCTGAATAGAAATCTCCTAAACCGGCACACTCCCATAAGGCGTTAGTGACAAGATCCCCCGTGATAATCCTGTATAGTCGGGGAATCAAATCTCCAGCTCCTGATCCATGATGGCGAAGCATGCCATCGACTGCACCGGTAAGTGGACACTGAGAAATATGGTTCTCACGAAAGAAAACCAACTCGTCTGGTGTCCACGGAGGTGGAGTCCACCTACCCCTACCCGTAGAAGGGCGAGGCTCAGTCTCCAAAGCATCGTCGTCTATGCCCTCGGGAACTGTGAAAGTGTTCTCTCAAAAGCCTGACGCCGGCCATGAGTAGATATGTCGCGATCCCGTCTTCTAGGCATGCTATTACATTCAAACAAAAATAAAAATTTAAATACTTAGCATCATTTCCTAAGTTATTTATTTTAAAAAACAACTTAATGACTACCTCAAGTTGCATTTTCTGTTATTCGCAAAATTTTTACCTCAGGCTAAAAATTAGCAAAATAATAGAATTATTTCTAGTACTTAGTTTCTCCATGACGAACTAATACTACAGTTCTCCTAAATTGCTTGACACTATGTTCTCCATGACAATATGGTACATATATAGTACAAAGCATGTTTCGAAATTGCACAAAAACAACAGATCGGCACATCATGAAATATTTTACAAGATCTACAACCAATATATCATCATTTCAAGTGCGAAGAAATAATGTGAACAACAAGAACACCATTTCACACACAAGTAGTACCAAAAATGGTGATTTACTCGTTTCTTCACCAAATCACACAAACTTGGTCCCAAATTGCTCAAAAACAAACATACATTCATATACAAGCTAATTCATGGCAAGAATTTTGACATAGAAGCTTAAAATCAAAAGGCCCCAATTTGATTTTTTAGGGTTTTAAGCAAAGATGGCATTCACGACAAAATTTGAGACAAAAAACAAAGAAAACTTACATGGATCCTTGTAGAAATTCGAAAATGACGAAGATAGTAAGAAATTTGAGTGAATTTGGTGAAGAATTGAGCTCGAAAAGCTCGGAAAAAGCGCAGCAACAGAACTCCAACACCGCGACACGGTAGCTCATGGTGTATCCCGGTGAATCTCCATGCAACACGGGTAGCAGCCAGAGGCGGATCTACGTAGTGACCCGGGGGGACACGTGCTACCCATCCCAAAAAAAAAAAAAAAAAAATTGTTTACAAAAAATTCTCCTATGAAACACAATATAAAAATTACACAATGCGTATTATTCAGCATAACTAAGGTTGCTTCAGTGGTATCAAAGTAGGGGCATAAAGTTTTCTTTTTGTACCCAATGGTCAGCTGTTCGATTCTCTTCATGTACACAATACACCTACTTTTTATTTATTTATTTATTTATTTTTTATTAGGAATTTTTAGTTCATTTCTAAGTCTTTGTTTTTTTTTTGTTTTGATATATTTTTTTTCCTAAAAAATATCAATGATTTATTATGTTTTTCCCCAAAATTAATTTCCTCTTTCTTGACATTATATTCAAATAGATTAGATATAAATGGTTTCCATCGAAAAGTGATTCTTCCCCAAATAACTTTTCACTTTCTTGACTTTATGTTCAAACATTAGATAAAAATAACTCTCATAAAAAAAAATGGTTAACAACAATAATAGTATTTTAATAACTAGTATGATGTACATAATTTTATCCATGATAACAGCTCATTGCAAAATCTATAGATGTTTAAAATTTGATGACAACTTTTTTTTAAAATACAGAATTACAATATATTATGCAAAAAAATAACTTGATGTGTTAATTACCAGTTTAAATAATTTAATTTGAGTTTCAACTTTCAAGTTAGTAGGTGTATTTTTTTTTTCCTTCTAGCATTTAGTGCTACCCCTAATCTGGAATCCTGGATCCGTCACTGGCAGCAGCGACAGTAGCGGCGAGCACTCGAAAAGCTGCAGCGATGGAACCAAAACAAAAACGGCGAAACAAATATGCCGTGACACGATGACAGCTGCCGCGGCACGGGATTATTTACCGTTTGACGGGACTAAGCACAGTGTCGCGGCATAATGCCACGTGACGCGGTGCACAGTGTCCTGCACGCTCCTGAAAACTCCTGGCGAATATTCCGGGCATCTTTGACTAAGTTTGAACGATTTTCCGCAGCTTTTGAACAATTATTTTCTCACTGGAATTACTCGGAAAATTCTAATTGGTATTTAAAGGTTACTAAAATTACCAATTTATCCCTAACAAGCATCAGAGTCACATTTTCGACATTTTAAACACCTAATATGGTCGGATATTCGACTTGAAGGTAAATCACCTGTGGCCCACGTTCGAGGATAATTGAACCATCATTATTTCATGGCGCAAGGTTCTCGATACACAGAGACTTGCAAATTTTATTAGACAAGTTTTTTTCCTCAAAGCATGGAAAATTGTCGATCGTTGTCACCTCTCAGAGCATTCCCAACAATGTGCAAAAATTGGTTTCCTCATTCTCTCTCTACCCACTTTCTCTCTCTTCCAACCCATGAGCATTTTTGTGATCATATTTTTATCCCACCGATGATAAAAAAAAAATTTATTCCCCATTCTCTCTCTACTACATCTTCTCTCTTACTTTTACTAATACCTTCTTATATTTCTCTCTACTATATTATTTTTAAATCTTTTTTTTACTTGCATTGTTGACCCCACATGGTTACTATTCATCTTTAAAAATGCTTATCCTATGAGCAATTTTCATTTTGCTCATGAGCATTTTTACTTTTGCTCATTGATGTAAGACATTTTTGTTTTAATTTTACCCAAAGTTTTGCTCATGAGCATTTTTTTGCTCATTGTTGGTAATGCTCTCAAAGCAAAACAATTAGCGATTATATCAGTTGCGGCTTTCCTAAAGCATGGAAAGTATTATCGGTGGATTTCCTCAAATATAGAAAACCTCTAAATTCATCTGTTTTCCTCGATGGATTTCTTGAAGTATAGAAAACCGCTGTCGGATTTCCTCAAGCATGGAAAGTATTATCGGTGGGTTTCTTCAAGCATAAAAAAACGCCAAATTCATTTGTCGACTTTCCTCAAGCATGGAAAGTATCTTCCAATAGGTTTCTTCAGGCTTAGAAAACTACCAAACTCATCAGTCGACTTTCCTCGGGCATGGAAAGTATCTCAGCGAAATGTCATCCGGTGGATTCCTTCAAGCATAGGAAACTACCAATCATTTGTCACCGATACACTGGTGTCAGATACGCATTCTATCCCTTTACTCTTTTATCTGTGGAACTAACACTTTTTTGCATGTATCGGCGTATATACAGTGATTTAGGATCGCAATACGTCTTAAATCATTCTCCGTCTCTATCGACTACTTTGACTATCATTTTCAAAACTGACGTATCTACAAAATCAGTCAAAGTCGGTTTCTGTAGACACCTAAAAATGTCTCCCTGAAACCAAACCCGATGATGAACAATCTTTCACTGCCATTATTGGTCGGGTTCAGTTTTTAATCACGAGAGTGCTTAAAAAGTCATATTTAATTAAATTCAGTTTTTAAAATGGCCAACACATCAGTTTTGATGTTTAGTCAAAGCATAGTTTATTTTTTATTTTGGCCTAAACCTTTTTATTCATTTATTATTATTATTATTTCATCCCAATTAATAAATAATAAATCAAAAATAGCTCGAAAATAAGAATCAACACTTAAAAAGGCTGAACATATTTAGGGCAAAAATGTATTTGGATGGAAAAACAGACGCAGGAACTACCGCGTCATGGCAAACTGTGCCATGTCACGGGACACTTTGCCGCGCCACGGCATAGTTCCCCGTGACACGATGCCGGTGCTATGACACGGGACAGCCCCGTGTCATTTCCGCGTAAACCTTTCACGCGTTTTAACTCCCATAGGTTAGATATGTCCCGTGTCACTCCAGAATATCCCGCGTCACACAAATATTTCCCGTGTCGCGGCAATGTTTTTAGGGTTTTTATCCTTTTTAGGGTTCCGTGCGTTCTCTCTACTCATTTTCCCTATACATACCCCCTCATTTTTTATGTACTGGGCATCAATTAATTTTCTTTTTCTCTCTTCTATGCTCTAGCCTAAACACTAGCCTACTTCTTTCAAAATTCCTTCCTTAAGCACTCCAAGGAGCACGTACTTTATTCGAGGTTCTGTCCTAAACCAAGGCGTGAAAGGTAAAACTGTTTGAGGGTTTGGCCCCAAATCAATCCTATTTTGCTTAATTTAATTTGATTTAATTGTTGTTTTGTTAAATTTCCTTGAAGTTACGAACTCGTTTATTGTTTTATAGTTGCAAGCAAACAAATCAAAGTAAGAATTATGTTTCTTTTATTTCTATTATTTTTCTAACGATTTTATATTGTTGGTTTTATGGTTAAATTGCTTCCAATATTAATGTTTATTCTATTATTATTTTTTTATCACCATATTGCATGTTTAAAGGGAATATGTAATTGAAAATCATGACTAATAAGATAATTTGGACAACCGGTTTAGGTTCCTTTTTAATCTTGTTATTAATTAAAGTGGTCACTAATATTTTAGAATAATGTGTTGCATTGATATTCAACCAATTTAGCCTAATAATAGCTTGGAGCAAATTAAATCTTTGTTTGTATGTCGTTTGAGATCGCAGGAATCACATTTCATTACAAAAGTCAAGTAGAGGCCAATACGGGCGAATGTGACTCCATGAGACACTTCGTACCATCATCCCCGATCCTCCTTTTGTGATTCCGAACCATATGGAGTTAGTCTCATGGATTATGAATGGGGTGTAACCTTCACGGGTCAATCGTTGTTGTCTTTCGTTGTTCCTTTATTCGTGGTTGCCTTAAATGATCCGTGAACGGTTTACAAGTTCCTTAAAAACTTGTTGGTGGCCCCCTACTTTCCTTGTCCCTTATCGTATTATGTCAATTCCCACTTCCTATGAGTGCCAAGCTTTAAAAACGCCCATTTTTAATAAACCCATTTTTGTATGCCAGTAAAATAGAAGCTTTTGTGTCAATTTTCACACACACACACACACACAGACTTGCAATAATAAGTCAAAACCCGTTCAAACGCTATAAATCATGCCAAACTGTGTGTCTAAGATTCAGAGTATATTGATTGAACTTATTTCCTTTTTTTTAATAGCATCTGCCTTCGATTGTTCTTACAAAATAAAGTTTCTGTGGTGTCTTTGTCAATAACATAATGTTACTGACCTGCATTTATTCCTCCTCTTGGTTCCTGACATTGTATGTTCCTTGTGGTGTCAAGTATATGAGCAAAGTCAAACCTTTTTGTGCGGGGTGCTAAAATAACAAAATCCATCTCAGAGGGAACTTTTATTCTGAATCCATTAGCACATTGGACTTCATTAACATTGGAGGCTCTTTTTCTATAGCCTAGTATATCAACTAATAAAGAAATTAAAGAATGTTGCAGGAAAGACTCAATGATGGCCTCAAAGGGAGGCAGCAGAGCTGGAAGTGATACAAGATTCAGTTTGAACTATGGCAGCAAATAAGGTACCCAAATTATCACATGGAAGCTGTTTTCTGTTTGTTCTGCTGCCAACTAACAGGTGATTTGAATCTTGCTTTATTATACGTACTGTACTACTTTTGCTCAAAATGACTAGTCAAGTTAACTCACTATTGAATTCTGCTTGCTTAGGTCATGCACCAATGAAATGTGATCTAAATAGGGTGCAAAAGGTTAAGCTGATCTGTTGATACTATCAGTCACGGCTTTCTCAGAAGATTTGCAGAATGCCGCTTCAGAATGGAAACAACTCAGCATGCTCTCATTAGAAATTATCTATATGAAACTGACTGCCATAGCAGTTCAGTTACAGCATTGTTTTAAAGAGTATCCAGCCTTGATTAAGTTCCGTGGTATATATTTCTTGTAGTCACTACTGTATACTTGTCTTAGGAGTTAGGATAGCAATAGATTTTCTTTTATAGTTTCATTTCCTTGTTAGTAATTGTGTAGCTAAGTGTAGATTAGAGTGAGATTCAAGTGTTCTGACTGGGAACATTGAATTTCTTTTTTGCTGTTGCTGTTGACAATAGCTAAACCAGATTTGTATACTGTTAGCAGTACTTGTGGTATTACAATAATAATAATTCAACTCTTCTGTTCTGGAGGATTTACCTGTTGGTTTGAAGTATGGAATCATATTGCTGCCGGCACCTGTATACAAAGGGTAATTCAAAGTGGCTTACAATCTACATTTTATCAAGGTCCGAAATCTTTGATTTTTAGGGGTGAAGTTTGAGTAATTCATAATTTCATATACAAAGTACTGCATTAACTGCAATCTTAACTGCCATGATTATATTCAGATACTAGTTGTACATCACCAATTTTCATTATGTTACCCAAAAAAATAGGATGAAGAGTATTTTGTAGATGAAGATTCAACAGAATTTGGAAAACTTAAGGGTAGATAAATGAATTGTATAGATGATGATTAAAATGGAATTTCTATATTAGTATACACAATTACACATATATCGATCTGTAAATGAACAAGTAATTGTAATCTGCGCGCTCAGCTAGCAGGTTTGGACTATCATGGTCCCTCAATATTTTGAGAGAAAAAGGAAGTTTCATTTGGTAACTTTCTTTCAAAACAAAGGCAACTCCTCTATGGATTCCACCACTTCTACAATAACTATTGCATTCATCATTGTAGTAGCCACTATACTGATATAGCTATACAAACTGAGGTGTATTCAGTTCATCTCATGAAAGATTGGAGCAATTACAGGGGTGAAGATGCCTAAATTAGATCTACCCTAAAAATATGTAATTGCAATCCCAAGTAGAATGTTGGAATTCAAACTTCACGCTTCGGCCTATTGCGAGCTCGGGAAAGTGCAGGTTCCTCTTTCTTAGGGATGACTACTTCAGAGGCATCATCGATCTCTTCCTCTGCTTCTCTAATTGCTTCATTCATGGCAAGCTGTCACACATGCACAATTAGGAACAAATTAGAATGCTAACAGGATTACAGGACAAGTCACCGAAATCACAATATCATCATTGACTACAAGAGCCACATAAAAGAATATACATCAACTATCAGTAGAGTTTCCAACTTTCCATGACAATTGTACTTGATTCCAATGTCTTGCTTTTATTTCTCTTAAAATGGTAAGAACGGACATCAGAAGCCACTAGATATCCAACATGCTTCATAGTTCATATTTAGGAAATATACCTCTAGTAGGAAAACTAGGGCTTGGAGCATACAATGCATAAAATGACAACTTTCTATGTATAAAGAAGGGGTTGATATCCATGGACTCTGAGCTAGTCAATGCAAAATCACAAGGAAAATATTTGTATTCTGTCTTGTAATCACAATCAGCTGATTTAAGCAGGTTTCTCTAAATTATTTCAACTTGCAACTTTGCTGTCTTTTACAGCAAGAACTGAACAACACTTAACATCATTATAAGTAAGCCACAGTCAGCTGTTCTTCCAACACACTGTATAAATCAATGCAAATGATGGTCTTAGTTTGGCAGTTCTAGCAGTTTTTATTTTTAGTTTTTACGTAGCAAAAACCCAATCACGTCAACTGCCAATCATCAATCCCCACTTTTTCATCCTCTTTTTTTTTTTTTTTTTTTTTTTTTTTTTTTTTTTTTTTTTTTATTCATCCCAAGTTCTCGTAATTGAGCTTTTACAAAGAATTCTGTTATTTTTTTTTTCCCCAGCTCTACCTAGTAAGATACAATGATACATATCACGAAATCCTACTTACCCTCAACTTAATTCTAATTGTTTCATCACATTCCTCAAATATTCCGTCGTAGTTGTAGCTCTATAGGTCCATGCAATCATGAGAAGGCATTAGGCTCCCGGTATCGACTTCTCCCGAGCCAAATTTATTTTGTTAAAACACAACACTTTTTAACAACACTTTTTATCAAGATAAGCAATCATTTTTCCAAGATAACTTGGCACAGAATGATATGACTAGAATAGTGTTACTGGTCACTTATAAGTTATAACCCAACATGCAAAACCCTCACCTACATTTTTAGCACTAGAATAGTGCTACTTCTTCAACAGTTTTGCATGCTAATCTATCAAAATGCTATCAAATAATCAGGCGAACCACTACTTCAAATTCATCTTTACCAAACCATGTATATACACCCGACCCCCTCGTTTCCATAGCCACAAAGAACCCTTTTCCAGGTTTTTTTTTTTATTATATTACGAAGAAGTTTAATTTGTTATGGTACCCTTATAAAATTGACCAGAAATTAGCAAGAGACCAATATGGACCAAGTAACAAGATACTGTCAGTTGCAAAGCAGAAAACACTATATACTAAGGGCCTTTTCTGATTAACTGAACTGAGCTGGAGTGAACTGAAGTGATTGGAGCTAAACTAAACTGAATTGAACTGAAGTGGATTGTTTATGAGAGAAGGAAATTAGGAACTGAACTAATCTGAATGGAGCTAAACTGAACTGAAATTAAGCCGAAGAGAACAGGCCCTAACACGGCCCTAACACCTCAATAAAGATATGTTGTATTATGCAAGCAAGACCAACATCAAAAACACCTTTCTCCTCGCCTTGATTCGTTTTACTTTCTCTATTAAAACATCTATGACTATTTTGTAGCGAAATAATCTACACAGTGAATACTCCATAGTACAGAAATCAAAGATTGCAACTCTCCCCCTTAATTTTTTCACTCAATTTACCATATAGCGCATACAACTTTTAAACAATAACCCTCCCACTACTTCAACAAAGCCACTGAGGACTTAATCAGACCCATCAACAGTTCAAAACAGCACCCTGGTGTCATGAAGTCCAAAATTGTATGGCCATGGAAATTAAGAATTTGCGAACTAGCTTAGTCGATTAAAGTCTCGGGATTGGGTACCAAAGTCCTAAGATCAAATCCCATCTACATCACATAAACATACCTTTTGTAAAAAAAAACAACAATTTGCTATAAAATTTCATCTAAGGGCATGTTCGGCAAAATATAGCTGTGAAGGAAGCTGTAGCTGTGGAGATAGTTGTTAGCTGTCGACAAGCTGTGAAAAAAGATAATTTAAGTATGATTGTTCGGTAAAGTAGTGGTTGACTAACTGTTACATTTAAGAATCAACATGTTATTTTTTAAAACTATACATTAAATTTTCAAAAGCTACTTTAAAATCTACTTCAAAAGCTGACTCTAATTTCAAAAGCTAATAATCCTAGCTTTTAATACTCCACCACTAAAAGCTACTTGAACTATTACTTTGTCAAACAATCACATTTTTGTTGAACTATTACTTTGTCAAACAATCACATTTTTTGTTGAGTAGTGACTTGATCAAACCACTAAAAGCTACTTAAAAATTACTCAAAAGCTAGCGTTGAACACGCCCTAAATATATCTATCAACCACAACCCAAAAACTCAAAAACCCCACTTAATTATACCATAAACCCATTTCCTAGAAACAAATTAACACTACAAAAAATGCATAAAAAGCCAGAATTCAGCATATTTAACATACAAAAATTGTACAACATATAAATTACTAAAATTATATACCTCCTCAAGGAATTTCTGGTCAAGTCTATCACCAATTCGAAAAGCAGTGAAGACAGTAATGGCGAGAAGAGAGAATGGGAAGACGAAAGCAAAGATGAACTGAGTGGTAGTTGGGCCAGCGCGAGCAACAACACTGACGCCTCTCATTCGCCGGCGGTCTAATTCGCCGGAAAATCGAACTAGAGACGGTCGGAGAGATGTCGGAAAAGCGACGTGAAGTGGCTGATGATGTGAGGAAGAGAGAGATTTAGAGGGAATAGTAGGGAAAGCTGCCATTTTTGAGTGGATAGATAAATAGATATGGTGTCTGTTATGTACAGGAAACAGGATAGTAGCGGTTTTAAAATGGAGTGAAGGGAAATTCTTTGTATGCCGGGGTGTGTGCGTTGATGGATACTATCAATAATGTTTTTTTTTTGGTATGTGTGCACATTATACCCCTTTCGTGTTTTAATAAGTGTTACTCGTATACTTATCAAATATAACTGTTTTTTTTTTTGTTGGAAAGAAGTCCTAATGGACATTAAAATTCATTTATTAAAATCATACGGCATTTACAATTGGCGGTTAATGATAATCAAAAGAATTTAACAAAATCATACAAGAATTAATCGTAGAAGAGCTAACAATCTAAATACGTAAATATAACAATTCGGCACATTCTCCATCCGTTGTCTCATACAACTTTTTGAGTGGATCCGTCGCCGCTTCTCAATTTTGTAAGAAAGTAAATTCTTGTGGTGATTCTGTAACCCGAATCCGAGCCATAATCAATCGTAACCTCGCATAACCGTAGACCAAATTAAACACAAATAAAACCTTGTCTTTTAAAGGAGTCCGAAAAACCTTCTATTTCGAAGGAGATCGAAAAAACCCCGACTTTCGAAGGAGATAAACCCTTTCATTCAAGGGAGACATTATTGTAACCTAAGAAACAAAAAGTTAAAAAGAAAATAAAAATTGAGGCTTTCCAATAGAAGCCCCTTCATAATTGACAATGGAGGTTAATGGTCATATTTTCATAGTGTTAAACTTTATTATTATTATTATTATTATTATTATTATTATTATTATTACTAGATGTAAGCCCGTGCGATGCACAGTTCTAGTAATTATTTTATTTAATTTAAAATTGTGTATATTTATGAAGATCATTCATTAGTTATATGGATAAAATTCCTAATATCATAAGATACTTTTTTAATTTTAACACTAAAGTTATCTTTTGTTGTTTTATTTATTTTATGTGACGCAGTGACGCTTGAATTTAAAATCCCAAACCTTATTCACTAATTTTGCTTATGTGACAATTTAAATTTTTAATTCAAAAAAGAAATGACAAATCTCGTTTTTTAATTGATCAAAATAAGTCTTTTGCCTATGCGTTTATTTAATATACTCGTTTTGTTTAAAATGTTAGTCTCATTTATAACCGTTTAACTATAAAATATTATGGGAAATTAGTCATATGAGATTTAGTTTTATTCGTCTCGATGAGTACATTATTAAAATCAGACTTTTACAACATTTTCTAGAGAGAGATTAAAGATATTTGAGATTAAAAATTTGCATCCATATATGTAAAAAAGATAATTATTACTTAGTTTTTTTTATTGTTTTTTTAGAGAAGATAACTATTGGTTTTTAAAAGTAATTTAAATTTTAATTATTCACTATTCGTTGTTTTTACCTAGTCAAAATTCTTAAATCTTATTCGTCACTTTTGCTTAGGTGGCGAGTAAATTTTTTAATTCTAAAATAAATTATTAATCTAATTTTTCATTGGACAAAATAATACCTTTTCTTATGTGGCGCGTCAAATGCTCCCGAAAAATGTCTACTTTATTTATATACATTAGATTTTATTATTTTATTTTTTTATTTTGCAAAAGGCTACATTTTGGTATTATTTTTCTCTCCTTGTCCTTATTCACTTCTTAACCAGTCTGATTATCTTTCTTTTGCAATTTTATAAATACTCTAGCTACCTCACTCACTTCTTATTTTTATTTAAGTCAATTAACATGTCAAGAATTGTGTGCCGGTCAAGTGTAACACTTATTAAAACACAGATAGAATAGGATAAAAATATATGTTTTTTTTTTCTGGAAACAGGTGCAAGATTTTGAGGGACACAAAAAGGATTATAGCTAGGCACGAAAATAAGGGAAAAGTAGTATAATTAATTTAAAAATAAAATATAATTTTGCAAATAAGCATTGTAATTAAGTAACCCAATGACATTTTACATAATACGGAGTAACATTTATTCTTTTGTAATGGTTATAAATATCTAAGTCAAAGAGAATACGCGAATAGTGCCTAAGTCAAAGTGATGCAAATATTAAAAAGCACCAATTTTATTAAAATCAAAGTACAATTTTCTTAAAATTGCTTAAATGAAATTAATTCTCCATTTGGGGAGGTCTTGGGCTCTTGGCATCGTACACTCTATTACATGTGTACTCCCTTCGTTTTATTTTAAGTAACCCATTTGGAATTTAGATACTATCTATATATTAAATCTACTTTGTCATACATAAAATAAATAAATAAAATATAGTCGTGTGGGTACTTGTTGGAATCGTCTCGATGAGTAGATTATTAATATTAAATTATTATAAATTATGGTTATCCATAATTATATATATAATTGAAAGTTTTGTATTGGCATGCATGTCATGTGACTATAAGGCATTTTTTTTTTAAAAGAAAAGACTTATTTGCAAAAAGAATTAAAAAAAATATATTCTCCATTTGTGTCATTTTTAAAAAACTTTTTCCAAAAGTAGTTCTCATAGGAAGGTAGAATCATATACTAATTTTGTACATTTTGCGCGTTTTTCATTCAAAGCAGTAAAAATGCTAATTATGTCAGGGATTTAATTAATAAACTGCTAATGACAACAGTGGTTAAATAATAAAACCCAATAATCATTAGTGTTTCTTTTTTTTTATTATTTTTTTTTATGTTCTTGATAATGAAATGCTACTTGAAATGATTTGGGTTGATGAACTTCAATACATACATTATTAGTGTAATAGATGTTGAAGTTGCTTACCACAACTTGTATTTGATAGCCATTAGGATAGTTATATACTCTAGGTCAACAGACTCACACCCGTGTCATGCATAGTTAGAGGTGTGTTTTTATCATTTAGTTTGTTTAGTATTTGAAAATTGGGGTTATTGATTGGTGTTAAACATTGTCTGCATTAGGTCATTATGTATGGATGGGGTTGTTTTTAGGGGCGTTGGACACTTCTTTTTGTTGTAGCCTTATTGGGCTTCCTTTTGATATTCTCCACAATTTTGAACTTAACCTATCCTTGATGTCTTGATGATTAATTAAATTCATGCCTTGTGTTTCTCCTATTAATGATTTTATTTTCATAATAGGTTTATATATTCTTCAACTGTTTAAATGGTGGGGGTTGAATTAGACCATAACTCGATTCTTGCTTAACGTCCCTAGCTATGTCATATGCTAGTGGCTGTAACAATTCAACGATCACTTACTATTTATGGTTTTCACTTCTGCATAAACCCAAGCAATTTGGATTGATTATTTCCATCCTTTTCCTACAGTCACTAACAATTACCTTGCAAATAACCCTTTCAACAAACAACCATCAATCTCAAAGAAATGTTTTATGACCATTAAAGCATATAAAGCCTTCCAAATACATTAAGAGTAAGCTTAAGATGGTGTTTAATGGATTTGATCTTTTGATTTCTAATTAATGCAGACCTATACAACCAGTGGCGGATCCAGGAATTCTAACTAGGGGTAGCATAGAATAATAAGGGGAAAAATGGAAATTAAAAAAAGATCTATATTGTATACTAGCATTATCATTAGCCTTTAAATTTTAAAAATTCATTTTTATTGATGAATTTTCATTTAACGAATATGGAATAAATTATATTCTACTTATAAATATGATCAAATTACAAAGTATTTCATAGGTTTAATAGTATATTTTTGTATGTATTCCTCTGAATTTACTATTCAAAAGTAAATATAAAACTATAAAATTATTTTATTTTATATAAATTATTGATTTACTCAAATGAAACTAAATAGTAAATATAATAATTACTACCAAATAAGTATTTGCATTGAAAAGTGCAACAAAAATGGGAAGAAGTTTTATCAAAGGAGGAGTTTTTAAGAATAATATAATTTTTTTTGACAAGAAGAATAATATTGTTTTATTATAATTATATTTGGTATTATGTACCGTGATTAAAATAATTAAAGTATAAGTATATATAATTTATAATCTTAAGATTCTACTAATTTGTATGTTTTTATAACTTAAATGAGAGTTTTTACAAAAATTATATTATGTACAAATATTTTATTTTATTTTATTTGAAGGAAATATTATGTACATATATAACTATAGTTAATTTGTTTCAAAAAAGAAAAAAAAAATCAATCTAAGAGACCTGTTTTATATAAACAGGTCTATTTTCTTTTTACAATGAAATCATAAAAAGAAAAGGTTAGAACCTAAGAGATTTGTTTCATATAAACAAGTCTCATTTCTTTTAACTTGGAAAGAAGCGGGATTGTTGTCATTTATTATAGCAGACTCTAAGAGACCAATTATTTAAGATAACAGGTCTCTTTGAGCTTTTTTTTTCCAAGGGTAGCATGTGCTACCCCTTGTGCCTTCATAGATCCGCCACTGTATAGAACAAAAGATTATTGCTCCTTATATTCACCTATGATAATTTGTTGAACCTTCTTCCGATTCTATCCTTTAAAGCAATCACTTGCTATTTTGATCATATATTCACCCACACTATGCCAACTACTTCTTGGAACTTAATATATTTGATAATCTCATCTTATCCAAGATTGTCGATATTCTTCTTTATAAGCACCACATTAAAATAAGATATGTAAAGAAGAAGATGAATGTTTTTGACAGAGTGAAGAAGTTAAAATGAAAGAGGGAAATTGCTTTTTAACCAGCACACAAAACTCTTAGTATTTATGTCGTTCACATACTATACCCCAAATGACGCTCTCTCCTTCTTTGAAAAGATTTTGATGTTGAGATGACATTCTTGATTAACATTGTAATAATAGTGTTTATTTTTATTTTTTTAAAAAAAACCTAAAGAACTAAGTTTTAAAGTGCATTTATTTAATTTTAGCTGAAAATGTCACACTAGTTCCCAAAAGGTGCTTAAAAATAACAGTCTCCAAAATGAAAAATTATGAATACGTAAAACTTAGTTGACATATGATTTTTTTTTTTTTTTGAGGCATAGTTGACATATGATTATACAATCAAACATTAAACATTTACAGATGTACCACATCAAATCAAACCATGTATTCCTATTTCTTTGCATTTGCTTATCACTAGATACCTTTAATTTTACAATAAAAAAATACAAAAACTTTCTATTTGAACAACACTCATTACAAATATGATATCTGTTGTACAAATCAGGCCATAATTTAATGAAATCAAAATTTTTACAAATTTGGTAAATTAGAAGTGAATTGAACATAGCCAAATTCCAAACACTACATATGGTGATTTGGATATCACCAATTTAATATAATTATGGAGATCATCATA